TTACAGCAACTGAAAATTAACTTCACCCACAAGTTGAAATTCTATGTACATGTACATATAGATTAATACATATTTAGTCTGTTCCTTTGAACTTCGGACTAAAACCTGTGGAACTGTCAAACTACAATTTTACGCTCTCAAATGAGAGTAAAAGGAGAACAGATGCAGAAGTGCATAGGAACGCAAAAAGCACTATTTCCTGTAAAAACGTCAGACGGTTTGTTTACATGTCATTGGTACTACACTGATTTGGCTGAAATATCAATAAATAATTATTGATGTTCACGAAAGTTTATTTTAATAAAAACGTAGATCGTACAGATGACATGGCAGAAAAATTAGCTGTATGCCAATGGAAAATTCTCGTACCCCTTTTATACAAGCATAACGCTAGAATTTGACAAGTACATAAAGTACAATACATACAAAGGAATGATACATATAAAGAACATAAATACATGAAATTAAAGCGTGAAGTGTGTGGTGAAATTTTGTATTTGACTCCCATCTGTTTCGCCGTGCTGCCGGATCTGCAATAGTTAGGGTGTTAATTGCGACACGCATGCTAAAGAATACAATATTTCGAAAAGTGGTAAACATGAAAAAGATAGGTTCACTCAAAGTTATGTTAAAATATTACACCCAAAAAATGGATTTGACAAAAGCGATTGAATTTGACATTGCTCGCACAAGAACCATCCTATAAAGTCAAATAGAAAAATATTTTTTGAGATGTTAATACCTTAAAGAGAGTTACACTGATTACACCCAAGTTCATAAAAAATAAAGAAGACTGTAACTGTTTTATAAATCAAAACACTTTATATAGCTCCTGGAATCCTTCTTTATTTTTTATGAATAAGGCCATTAGCATATACCGTTTTTATAAGTAAATCTTATAGCGTGATGCGAAATATAGTAGTAAATGTTACCACATTAAAAAAGGTATTAAATATTCAATGGCGCAACACAACAACTCTTTTTGTTGCACGAAACCCTTGAACACGTGCCTGTCATCTATTTTTTCTGTTTCGACATTTCACTATTTTGTATTTCATTTATTTTGA